CTTGATAGTTGGTGGTGGCAAACAGCGGGGGGAACTCATCGGAATGTGGCCCGTACACCTCTGGCATGGCCATCATCAGGTAGGCCGCCGCGGTCGGGTTGCGATTGGCGAGCTCCTGCAGCAGTCGCTTGGTGAAGGCCTTTTCCGTGGCAACGAGAAACTTCTTTGCAGACATGTCTGCCCCTCCTTTCATTGAATAGTGCGACGTCCCCCTGGCATATCCCGAGTTCTTGTTGCCACGACGAAGCCCCGCGCCGTGCATTGTGCCCCTTGAGGCCTTCCATTGAACCACAGCCAGCCGGGATCCACAGGACTCGACGATGAGCCCCAGCCGCAGGTCGTGTTTGTGACGACTCGCGCTATTGTACGAGATTGTGGCCACAAGGGCACCGTGCTCGTCGCGGATGTAGAGTTGGCCCCCGCCTGGGGTTCAACTTGCTCAAGCCTTTCCAGGCCCCTCGCCTTTGCCGGCCTCTTCCCAAACCCGGCATAGACCATCTTGCCCTCCCAGCCATCGCACAAGGCGGGCGTTGGCACCACGATGTGAACAACCGGGCGGCTGGCGGAGGGCTGCGGGTCGACCGAGAAGTCGGCCGTGGTAAGACTGCCATCGCTGATCGCAGCGATGATGCCAGACTGGAGCCCAATGTGGTGCTTGACGCGCTTCTTCTGGAGACGGGACCACGTTGGCCTATTGATCCACCAACCCGTGGGGTTGTCTTGCTTGATCTTCTTTGAAAAAAGGCCAATCGCCTTGGCCTTGTCTTCTAGGCTGGCGTCCTGGGCGGCAAGGCCGGCGTCTACCAGCAGCGGATACAAAAAGGCCACCGTGTCGCCGGAGATAGCTGTGGCGCGGCTCTTGCCCATGCCCATCAGAAGAGCCTCAACCGCGGTGGGTGCGACGGGGGGCGTGGCCTGCGGCGCGGTAGAGGGGAGGGGGGGAAGGGAAGGTGTTAGCAGACCTAGCCCGATCGACAGGTCCCACTTCCACGGCAGGGCAGCGCATCCCATGCAGGTCGACCTCCCGCAAGCGGCGGTCGTGCTCAGCAGGGGAGGCATCAAGATCAGCGCACAGCAACATGCCCAGACAGCGCATCCCATGCAGGTCAACCTCCCACAAGCGGCGGTCGTGCTCAACATGGGCCGTGAGATCGGCGTATAGCAAGCGCGCCCAGGCAGCGCATCCCATGCAGGTCAACCTCCCGCAAGCGGCGGTTGTGCTCAACATGGGCTGTGAGCCCAGGCGGTCAACACCCAGCGGAGGCGCCCACGGCCACACAGCAGCCACTCACCTCGTCAGCGCTGAGCATGCTCAGAGTGTGCTCTGCGTGAGTTGCCGGGCCTGAGCTGGAAGGAGGTGGGCGTTGGCCAGGGGGGTGAGGGGACTGTCGAGCGCTTGACGTTTCCATGCCCAGAGTGTGCTCTGCGTGAGTTGCCAGGCTTGAGCTGCAAGGAGGTGAGCGTTGGGCTGTCGTCCGCTGCGAGCGCTTGACGTTTCGTGTGAGAGGAGGAAAGTGTGGTCTTGGAGATGCGGCGATCAGCAGCAGCAGTGTGGACAAGCTACAACTGCGCCACGACTGCGCCAGGCTGTAAATCCTCCCCGCTCTCAGCCTCATCATTACCACAGCACTGACGCAAGTTCTTTGACACACAGCTATCACGGCAATCACCTGCAACACCTGTCTCGGCACAGCGCAGCCATCATGCCATCACACCAGGCGCTCCAGGGGCACCTGTGGTGTGGCATCTTTACTGGAGCAACCACACCACGGCGGAAGAGGAAAAAGGTTGCTCCGGTTACCCTGCGGTTGCCCATACGTCTGCCAACCGCTGTGCAGACACCATTGCAACCATCCCCGCAATTCGAGTTCCCACCTTCTGTCCATCGCCAGTTGCCCCAAGCAATTCCAGACATGGTTAGCGAGAGTTCCGGAGATGAAGACGGGCAACAGCAGCAGCAGCGAGGGCTTTCACCCGTGGACAGGGTTGAACCTCCCTGCTCCCATCCCTTTCCTTTTTCCCAGCGCACCGGGTGGACCCCTGGTGTATGAGCCCCCGCCACCACCACCCCCGCCACCACCACCAGCTCAACGACCCCGCCCGCAGACACACGCCAGCACGAAGGTTTCCCTTCACCGAATCCAAAATCACAATCAAGTCCAAAGGGAGCGCCTGACAACATTCATCGCCGATGTTCACGTCCTTGCGCGCCACACCACCTTCTTTATCAAGTACTACCTTGGTGAGTTTTTGAGGTACACTATACTGTATATTTCCCATAAAACAATGTCCTTACTGCTACATCGGCCCACCCCACCACAGCTGACCATCCTCTACACGATTTCCCGGACATCACCGACAAGCACATCAGTGTGATGTTTGAGCTGCTCAACAATCCAGGCTACAATGGCAATCCGCTCATCGGGCAAGAGTTGCGTCCATGGGTTCAAGACTACTGTAATGTTCACGGATTTGCCCCCATCCGCATGCGAAATTGCCAACGGACCGCAGCATACACGGCTACGAGCATCCTCACAAACCTCAAAGTTAACGTACAAGAGCATTTCATGCAAATGTTTCTGCGCTATGTCAATGAAAGGCTTGGTTTGAAGCAAGTCGTACTGCATCTCCGTGCCGGAGTCAACCGAGCGCAGCGGCGACGCTATTATCAGCGTGTCCGTCAGTTTACAAAGTATGCAACATTTGTAGAGTTTCCAACCGAAGAGGAGTTTGCCTGCCTCACACAACTTGAGCGGACTGTCCTCGACGAGTTATGGGCTCTGTTTCCTCCCCAGGATGAACCGCTTGCATACAGCCTTGCGGTGGACGCAATGCCATATTTAGGTGAGTTAGTATATTTCCGGCCCCCCCCTCCCCGCGGGTTCCTCTTTTGTCTAATCATGGTCCGCACCTGCCTTGCCTCATCACAGGTGCCTATTGTGAGCTCTCACGCCTCTATGAGCGCCGTGGAATGCGGCTGTTTTCCGCTATCCCGCTGCGCAAATCTTGAATCCAGTCATCCGTTCGGATCGACACAAAGATCCTATCCACTCATATCCTGGCCTTGGGCCACCATCGCATGGGGAAACTCACCGATCAACGCAAGCGGGAGCTGTGGGGGCAGTTTCTCAATGTGAATGTAAGTCTCTATCCCTCTGCGCTTATTTCACTCACCTCACCTCGCTGAATGACGGATTGCAGGACAAGGTCTTCAAGGATCGAAAGAAGCTTGGTCTCAAATTTGATGGGTCAATCAGCATAAACGGGTATTCCGCTACCATCCACTTCAAGAAGCCAGGGCTTCAGTATGGCCATCGCGCCCGGAAGCGCAGCAAGGCCCAAATGCAGGAAGAAGTCAAACAGCTGTATTTTGAGCACCACATCGCCGAACTAAGGGAGGCTCCAAACATCGTCAGCATTGATCCGGGCAAGCGTGACCTCTTGTTCTGTCGAGACATCAAGAAGGAGCGGCCATTTAGGTACGTTTCAGCTGATTGCAGAATTTCGAACGAAGGGGATCGTGGGAACGGGGACGGGGAGGGTTGAGGCGTCGCCGATGATGGGCAGCGGGGACAGCGGGGACAGCGGGGACAGCGGCGGCGACAGCCGGGACAGCGGCGGCGACAGCGGGGATAGCGGCGGCGACAGCGGGGATAGCGGCGGCGACAGCGGCGATAGCGGCAGCGACAGCGGGGATAGCGGCGGCGACAGCGGGGATAGCGGCGGCGACAGCGGGGATAGCGGCGGCGACAGTGGGGATAGCGGCATGGTTATCTGCCATCCACATCATTGTACCTCTGCCTGAGGCGTCGCCGATGATGCGCAGCGGGGATAGCGGCGACAGCGGGGACAGCGGGGACAGCAGGGCAGTAGTAATCTCACAATGTACCACCCCATACCAGATACACATCCAATCAACGGGCGGTCGAGACAAAGTCTCGGTACTTTCAACGAGACATGACAGAGCGAAAAATCAATGCCGGCATCGCTGAGGTGGAATCACATATTCCATTGCACAAGAGCATGAATATCGAGGCGTTCTCAGCGTTCATTGTGGATCACTTACATGCGGGTATGATGTTCTACTTCAACTTTGATTCTCAACTTTGGTAACACATGGGCTGACATCCATCCATATCCCAGATCCCGCCCTGGATGAGTTTTACCAGGATGAGATTCACGTAGCTCGCAGATTCAAGGCGTTCTCACTGCGGCAAAAGTCTGAGACCAAGCTCATCAAGAACATGCAACGCCTGTATGGAAAGCATTTTGCGGTCATCTTGGGTGATTGGAGCGACGCCGGAAAAACCATCCGCTTTCAGGAGTCATCAAAGACCAAGGGGTGAGTGACCATCATTGTTTTTTATGTATCTTAATATGCTAACTCATCATCATGGAAATCAGATTCCGCACACTCTTTGCAAGAAACAGCATCCCATGCTACTTGCTAGATGAGTATCAAACGTCTTCCGTGTGCCCAGACTGCCACGGGCGTGTGATGAAAAACATCCGACGCCGGCTGTCACCTCGGCCGTGGCAAGCTCGAAAGGGAAGAATGGAATTCGTCCATGGATTGGTGGGTTGCCCCAACCCCGAATGTATCAACCAAGACTGGACGCCATTTGAGATTCCTGGAAGACGACCACTCCGGATGAGAGTGCACAATCGGGACGTCCTAAGCACCAAGAATTTCCTCTCGATTGTGCGTTCGGCAGTGTTTGGCAATGGCCGCAGACCAGACGCATTCTCCCGTAACCGTAGGTAGTCTAGAATCCTCACCCCATCCCATTTTCCCAGGTGGTTATCTGCCATCCACATCATTGTACCTCTGCCTGAGGCGTCGCCGATGATGGCAACTTGTGTACATAACGTCGGATACTGTCCGTTGGTTCCCGATGACCTGTTTTCCCGAAGCAGTTCCCGTTGCGACGCATATATATCCAGCGATGAGTAGATAAACCTAAAGTATGGTGCACGAGGATAACAGGCCGCACATACCCCGCCCTCTTTGGAGCATTAACTGTTCACTGCCCGGCTGTCATGGACTCGCTCTCGTTACGAGACCCCGACGCACCTTCTTCCGTCTGCCGCTTCTTTGCCTTCAAGAGGTAACGTCACGGTCTCGTGTGCACTCCCAGGGCGACTGATCTGCTTTGCGAAGCCAGTTAGATGTCCATGGCTGTTGGTGATTTTGCTTTGGTCCTTCTCCCTCTTCCGCTTCAACTCGTCGTGCATCTTGAACCGCCTTTCAAAATCAACGGCACGCACGAACGCTCATTTTCAGACGACTAAGACTGGGTGGCTTGCAAAGCTGCACTGCAATGAAGTATACTGCAATGTCTCAATGCCACCCATAAGATAGCGGGCCGTGAATTTGAGCGCGGGGGAGCCGTTGCTCGGATCCTCTTCTTCGTCGCCATTCTTTCATTGCTTGCACTTCTGCGAGAAACACTTTAATCGATGCGTTGAGTAGAATGCTACTCCAGAGAGCGCAGACGCCAGACGCTTTTCTAACCTATCGCCCGCGCGGATCCGGAGGCGACCGATGTTGTCCCCTGTATTCGTAGAGGGTGCCAAAGAGTACAGTATTGATATCAGGACTGCCAGGTGTCGATTACGGAAAGTGTGAGGGCTGCGTCACGCGTGCTCCAGGACTTCATGTAGCCTTGCTTCAACGTGCGGCATCTCTCTGCGGACTCCTATTGCGAAAACCGGCTGGCAATGGTTCCTTCATTTACTTTAACACCCATCCCCAAAGTGATCGTCTCCGTCCCAGTCACTCCCAACCCCACTTGGAACCCGGGCTCTCCACAGTAGGCAGCTTTCCGGTTTCCCTGACGAACGACCGGGGCCCAGGGCGAACACTTTGCCCGATAGTCATCTCTCTACAGCCAAGCACAGTCCGTCACCACCACACCAGATCCCTCACCGACACCCTTCCTCCCACGCCCACCCAGCCACCCAAGCACCCAAGCACCCAGCCATGGGCAGCGTCGCCAACCCCGCCCTCGCGGCAATAGCCTCCTACTGTCTCTCCTCGATTCTCATGACGGTCGCAAACAAACTTGTGCTTTCAAGTTATCAGTTTAAACTCAATTTCTTACTACTGGCTGTTCAATCGCTTGTCTGTGTTGTTGTTTTGGAGGGGTTTACGGCGTTTGGACTGGTGACGAGACGCGCTTTCAGGAAGAGCGATGCGCAGAAATGTACGTTTGAGTGGGAGCGAGGAGGGGTGAGCGATAGGGAGGAGAAAGCGAGCGATGGTGGCCTTTCTGCAACGGCCAAAGCGAGTTGCAGGGTTGGGTTCGGTCTTGGAGACCGATAGGTCGACCAGAACGGACTCTTTCTGTTTTGCGATGGGGGCCCGAGCGAGAGCGAGCTGCGACCGAAGGGAGCGATCTGGGTAACCTCGCTGGGGGAGTTATAACCATCTCGTTGACGGATTGATGGTGGATGGTGGATGTTGGATGGTGATTGATGGTTCGCTATCGCTCACACTCGTTTCCATGGGCCAACCATCGCTCACCGTCTATGGTCGCTTCGCTTCACTCATCCATCTCTCATTCCTCACAGGGTTCATCGTCTCCTTCTCCCTCGCGGCCATGATCTACACCGGCTCCAAAGCCCTTCAATACCTCTCCATCCCCCTCTTCACCATCTTCAAAAACCTCACCATCGTCGTCATCGCCTTCTCCGAGCGTACCTTCCTCAACGGCGCGCCCGTCACCCGCTTGATGATCATCGCGTTCAGTATGATGGTCGTGTCCTCGTTGATTGCCGGGTGGTCGGATATCGCGAGCGGGAACGTGTTGAAGGGCGATGGGAGTGTGGGGTGGGTTGTCGCGTATGGGTGGATGGTGCTGAATTGCGCAACGACGGCTGGGTTTGCGTTGTTGATGAAGAAGAAGATCAGGGAGGTCAATTTTAAGGAGTTTGACACTGTGTTCTATAACAGTAAGTCCTACCCTCCTCCTGGCCTCACTCTTACCCTCCCCTTCACACTCATCACTCACCCCCCACAGACCTCCTCTCGATCCCTATCCTCCTCCTCGCCTCCCTCCTCCTCGAGACACCCGAAGCACGGCGCACCTACGCCAAATACACCACCCCGGAGCACGCTTCTGAAGTCCGCGGCCTACTGATCGGAATCGCTATCAGCGGCGTCAGCAGCTTTGGGATCAGTTATAGCACCGCGTGGTGTATGCGGGTTACGAGTTCTACAACTTATAGGTATGGATGTAAGCGAAAGATGCAGTTTGAAAAAAGACTGATAGGGTGTGATTTTGTGTGGCTTTTGTAGTATGGTAGGCGCACTCAACAAACTGCCCATCGCCGTCGCCGGGATGGTCTTCTTTAACGATCCCGTTACGTTCGGCGGGGTGTGTGGTGTCGCAATAGGTGGGTTTTCCTCATCCCCTCCCTTCCCCACCTCCTTTCACCTTCCCACCTCTCTAACGCAATATCTCCGATATTTCTATCAGCGTTCCTGGGCGGAATAGTCTACAGCCACGCCAAAAACATGCAATCCCACCACCCAGTTAAAGCCGCGTCCGACCTGCCGCTACCGGCGATGAGCAAGCCTGAGAAGGGGAGTTATGAGAAGGTTGCTAGTGCGTAGAAGCGAAATGAGGGAGTTGCAGTTTGCCCCTTTGGACGTCATTTTTGGGATGGATGTGATGGGGTGGCTCCCGCTGGGGACAATCATAGATTTTGTGCTTTTTTTGCATCGTGTAATTTTAAGACGTGGTTGAGAATGGGAGACAGAGGGAGCTCACTGCACACCACACTACCGAGTCAGACCGGTGCGAAAACAACATCCAAGATCCCAACCACAATTTTCAACACTCTCAGAACACTTCAAAAACTAATTTTTACATAATATTTCTCAGAAATTCTCGGTCGCTCCAAAATCAGGGATATACATCTTCGCACACTACCAGGCATCAGACGACCAGTAGAGAAGGGGTATGTTTTCTCAGAACAGGTAGATATGGGTCGGGGTTGGGGTCCTAGATGCCGGTGCCGCCAGGAGCGCTACCCTTGTTTCCGTACTGGGCGTACGCTTTCTGGCCTTGGTCGACCATGTTGCCTGAAAAAAAGGGGGAAACGAATGACAATTAGCCTTGCAAGCCCATCAAACTCACCCCAACTATCAACAACCATGAACCATCGAAAGATCAGGAAACAATATCAATAAGAACGAGCGCTCGCTATCCCTCTCGGGTATTGCGCATGGCGGCGCGAGACTCGCTCGTCGCAGGACATAAACCAAAGGGCTCGCTTCGCCCGCCGCTCCCGGCAAACACCCCACCGTCGCTCGCCCCCCCTCTCGCGGACCCCCCACAGTATATACATACCCTGCTGAGTCCCAGTCTTGGGCAAGTACCCCGCATTCTGCGCAGCATCAATGCCCTGGTCGACCATCGAAGGCTTTCCGCCGGCGGCAGCGGCGTTGTGGGTGGTTCCGGTGGTTCCTGCGGCTCCTCCGGTGGCGGGCTTGTTGAGCAGGCCTGAGGCGGCGTTTTTGAGGGCGTCCATTTTGAAGGTTTCTTGGGGGTGTTTGTGGGTTGGTTTTTGGTTTTTTTTTGTGAGGGGTTTTGCGGATGAAGGTGAGAGGGCGGGGAGTGGGTTATGGATGGCTTTTATAGGCGTTGCGATGGGATGCTCATCAGTGCCTGTGCCTGCCAGTGTGCCCCCCACCGGTCCCTCCAGTGCCTCCACACAATATTCACGACGGGATCCCTTTCCTCATCAGTAACTTCATATATGTACCACCGATCCATGCCCGCCAAGCAAGCCGCAGTC